AAGCGATAGTGGTACCGCGGTGTGAGAATCGCACTCCCTAGCTCCTAAATTATTTTTCTCATAAAAAAATGGCTTGCCTACACTTTGCTGACGTAAAAAAAAAAGCATGAAGTAAGTCTCTGATACTGCGCGTATATAGCAAAACTACAATTACTTACGCGTCGCGCAGACCGAGCCTAGTATACCGCTTTTTAACGACGATCATCCAGATGACCGCAATATTGATAGGCACCAGTGCGCCCCCTATGGGTTGTGAAAGTTACGAATATCTACGGGGGCCGCAGCGACCCACATATATCTACCTCCCACTGAGAAAGTAAAAACATTATTCCGGCACATACTATAAACACTTCCATCTCCACAATGAGTATACCCTGAGGTTGGATATGCCTCCAGACATCAATGTAACATATTGATACCCGGAACTTAATTAACAACTCTTTAACTCGGACACCTCGCTACACCCAAAGAAAACGTCTACCCGGCATCACTTGATTGATGCACCAATATATAGCTCACACCATAGAGAGGCAATAGGATGACCATAGACTCACCGGGACCATAGAACGGAAAAAGGAAGGAATGAAAATTTTTGATTTCGCGAAGATCTCTATAGCGTTTTTGTATCCATTCTGTGGCAAACAAATGGTACATAGACGGTCTAAGAACTGTCTACAGGAATCCAAAGGGATGGACAAAGAGGTAATAGAACGGCAAAAGAATGGACATACGACGTCCATACATTTTTTTGTAGGGGTGTGCTGTGCTTCCGGTTGACAGAAACCGCATCGCCCGCATCGGCACCGAGTGCACTTGGGCTCTTGATGCTCAAGCCTTTCATCCGCGGCTTGTCGCCAGCTGATCCCGCTGCTCGACGAAGAGGAAGCGGCGAGAGAGACCACCCGTAATGGAGAGGTCCCGGGTACGATACCCAAACCAGGCGGATTTTTTCGGTCGCTCACCGGTCACCTAGCTGTGTGTGGAGATTTGTGTTTGTCCTTTGTCTTTCTTGTTCCCCTTCTCCAGGGATTATTTTCATCCTTCTTGTCCAGCTCGCTTGCACCTTTGCATTTAATTGCACTATAATAATAACCTTAAATTGCAAGTTTAACCCTCGTTGTTGTTAGACTGGTGGCGGTTGATAAAACCCGTTTGCTCTACTAACGTCTAACCCCTGGTTAGCTCGGTTGGTAGAGCGCTCCACCTGTAATGGACAGGTCCCGGGTTCGATACCCGCACCAGGCGGATTGTTTCAGCCAAGTATTTGGCTGAAACGTACACACTTGGAAATGGTATAGTCCCATGGGACTTAATTTTTCCGTGTCCTTCAGAGTGAAATTTCGTGCAGGTACTCTCGTACTGACAAAGCGTGCTGTTATCCACGCCGCGTTTAATTTTGAAAGTGGCCTTCAGTTCTTGACTTGATCAAACTGTACTGCAAATGCGCGTTTTCCCTTTTTGTTGCCTTTTGTTCTTCTCGTTTCTGCGTCGTAATTCGTAATCATTTACTCCGCAGTTTGATCAAGTAATGAATAGCCAACTAGACCGGTTTGCAGCACTGGTACCCTTCAGTTTTAGATTTGCTCATCGAATGTGACGATATCTGATGGCAGGTAAAATAATTTGTGTTGCCGCCTGTTTATTAATACTCATTCTTCTATACTTTGCAGGCCGAGGTAACCGGAAATGCTTTTAATGCAAATGTGAGCAACGCGGAAGGAGGGCCAGCCACCATCCAGGTCAACTTTGGCAGTGCCAGACCCTTGGGCTTAGACTTTTCCAGATTAATGGAACCAACTAGTCGGATCAAAGGAGGAATGGCCACAGTTCAGCCAACTGCCTGCGACATTTCTCTTTCCTTCCAAAACTTTGTTCGCCGACATACTGTATCCGTTTTGTTGACGTGTAATTCCCAAAACCTATGACGGTGATATACCATAACCTTGGTTTTGTGTCATGCCTGCCTTTTTTCAGCACTACAGAGCAGGAGCGACGTAACTAAACAATGCTCCTTGATCATTTCCAGTTGTGTCTTGCTCGATTTGTGTGGGACTGTTTCGACGTAATCCTTTAGCGAGTGTTTAAAGGTGAAGTGAAACCTTTGAAGTATGTGGTTGATAGAGAAGTATTGCTTTTAAGTTTTGATCACATGCATTTTTTACAATCGACCTTTTCGGGATGTTCAATATCCAGTTATGATGCGCGTGTTTGTTCGTGCTTTGAGTATTTTACCTTTTGAATCAAACCTCAATACGAATGTAAACCACTGAATTTCTCTACTTTATCTGCACGATGTGTCTCTGCTTGCTTGTTCTTGGAGTTTGTTCTGGTTGGGCTTCTCTGTTGGTGTAGTATAAATAAAAAGCAAGCAACTACAGAAAATGTTGTCTTCATTCCTAACAGAAATTGCCCACGCAGCATTCGACTCCGAACGGCAGAGAACCGACTGCGATGACAAGGGGGCGGAGCTCTCCCAAGGAGCCGAATGGCAGAGGCAACCATGCAAGATGGAGCCGCAGGGTTGGACGGACGGCGGTGCGACTCCTGCCCCCAATCTTATGGTGCCCAGAGAACTAACAACCTCAGGTATGCGAAGACGCACACGGGAAAACACTCATCCAGCCTCGCAACTTCTTAACACACCCTCACATATTCATGAACGGTTGGTGCCACACGGATTGAAACCCTTTTTTCGTAGGCTAGGTTTTCCAGAAGGTGGAAAATGTCAGGAGTCTGAAGTGGTACACAAAGTTCTCCTTCCGTGGGATAAAGGGGTTACATTCCAAAGTCCGAGTACTACAACTATAATGAAAGTAAACAAACAAGCTGGGTTCAACTGAAGGAACATTCAGTCCGAGCACTCGAATTTGCAACTGATACATCTTTTTTGATATCGGAGAAATGTACCATGCTGAGTTGCTTATTTATATCACAAAATTGTATTTTATCTTTAGTTCCGGTTGATCGAGTAGCTCTCACAAATGCTATAAATTATGTTTGACACATAAAATAACCCAAAAAGGTTTGGATGTTTCAATTGCTTGAAGATTTTCTCACAAGATTATTTGTGACACCTAGCTTTAGCTTTAGACTGGCAAATGTGCATTCGAATGTCGAATTAAAACATTGTTTTTCGCTGTTTCAGATTGCTCGTAAAATAATCGCTCTGTGCTTTTGCAAAGTATTAAGTTTCCAAGGTACAAATTGAGTATTTTACGACCCCATTGAATACTATTTTGTGTAAGGTGGAAACTCTGAGGAGTCTGGTGAGGTACATAAGTTTCTTCCACGTGGAAAGTTCTTTAAGGTTTGGTTAGCGCCCTGCAATGTGCAGAAAAGTACACCACAACACAATGCAAAGTTTATTTTCTTAGGAAAGGGGGGGGGGGCGATAAAGAAGTTACATTCTAAAGTCTGAGAACGACAGCTCAAGTGAAAGTAAACAATCAAGCTGGGCTCTATTGGAAGAACATTCAGTCCGAGCACTCGAAGTTTCAATTGGTACACCATATTTGATGACTGATATCGAAAAAAAAATGTACCATGTTGAGTTTATGTATTTAAAAAAAATTGTCTTTTTTTTAGTTTCGGTTGATCGAGTAGCTGTCAAAACATTATAAATGATTTTAACGAATGAAATAGCCCAATAAATGTTCGGTGTTTCAAATGATTGAATTTTTTCTCACAGCATTATTTGTGTCGCCGAAGTTTAGCTTTAGACTGGCAAATGTCCATACCAATGCCGATTTGAAATAGCGTTTTTCGATGTTTCAAATTGCTCGTAAAATAATCGCGTGTGACCTTAGCGATTTTTCAAGTTTCAAAGCTACACAACGATTATTCTACGAGCCAATTGAATGCTATTTTGTGTAACATAATAATCTGTGGGTGTGTGAACGGCCCTTCCAGCGATACTTGATACTCAGTCACGATCATTATGAATGTCAACACGCTATCACCCAGCGTTGCGTACAGGCAGTGTTATGCAGCCGCAGTGTTATAGGCGTTACCGTAAAAAAGGAAAGATGCGTTATTCGTTACTTGTCAAATAAACGAACGCGTTACCGTTACCGACAGAAAGTAGCGCATGTTACTTTTGTGTTACTTTTTATTTAGAAATTGACGGTAACAGCGTTTTTGTTTTATTTTGGTGACAGCGTTTTTCGACACTGGGATGACGGGCGCGGGCGTTGGAGATTTTCTAAAGTGGAAATTCCTGCGTGGGAAAAAGAGAGGAAAATTTTAGAAAATATGTAGAATGAGTGAAATAATTAATTACTTCAATCATGTACTACGTTACAGCTTAAATCTAGACGCAGCCGACGCTACGAGCTAATGGAACAAATCAAGCAGTGTCAAAATCACAAGTCACTGGGCCATGAATGTTTATGGTTGGTTCAGCAAAGATTGAACAAGTACAGAAACACGGAGAACACCATAATGGTTCTCTTTTCCCTCTCTCTGATAATTTCCATCAGCTTGTAGCGTCAGCTGCGTCTGGACTTCAGGTAAAACAAAGTATAGAAACTGGCAAAAAATACAGGTGTTCGTTTTTCAATTAAACTTGAGGAAAAAACCAAAAGGGAGGGACAAACACGTTTTCTTCCTCAAGTTTAATTATCCCTACCAACCCGCTCGTTCTGTGCTAACATCGTTTTTTAAGTTTTTGGAAGATGTAACGAGTAACGTAATTACGTTATCCGTTACTTGAAATAACTAACGCAAGTACGTTACCCGTAACTGTGTTGGAAAAGTAACAATTACGTTACCATGTTACTGAAAAAAGAAAGGCGTTACCGGTAACGACGTTACTTGTAACACGTTACCGCCAACACTGTGCAGCAGCGACCGCGGCGGCTTGACTTCCCTTCTGCGCTTGGTTAGCAGAACATGCAAGCCACCACAGCTGCCGCACCGTGGGGCTGCCAGAATCGAGTCTTTAACGATCCCCTGTAGACATTTACAAGCTTTGCGAATTAACCTTTTTAAGATCTCAAATGAACGAATAGCCACTGTAGGCCGCACGGGCATAATGTAGGTATACTGGACCATGTTCAGAACAATTAAAAATGCGCCGACCTTTCTTGCTCTGTCGTGTCATCCCAACAGACTGGATAGGAGCAGGCTGTGGCGACAAAGTGGATACCTTTGACCATGACAGCCGCAGGATTGACACCTCTACCCAGACCAACAATTCAGGCCCACACAAGCAGCAAACGCACCGACGACCGGACAAGCACCCGTGCCGCTTCTGTCCTCACTCAAGCTCTTCCGCTGCAGATGTCGCAATCCACGAGAGGACTCACACTGGCGAGAGGCCCTTCAGTTGCGATGCCTGCGAGAAAACATTTGCGCGTAAGGATTGCTTCACAGCTCATGTTAGAATTCACACCGGAGAGAAGCCGTTTAAGTGCAACACGTGCAGCAGGGCGTTTACTCAGAAAACCAGCTTGACGAATCATGAGAGAACTCATACTGGAGAGAAGCCGTACAAGTGTAACACGTGCAGCGGGGCGTTTAGTCATAAATGGAGCTTGGCGGATCACGAAAGAATTCATACAGGAGAGAAGCCGTACAGGTGCAACACGTGCTGCAAGGCGTTCACTAAGAAAACCAACTTGGTAAATCATGAGAGGACTCACACCGGAGAGAAGCCGTTCAAGTGCAACACGTGCAGCAAGGCGTTTACTCTGAAACGCACTTTGGCGGATCACGAAAGAATTCACACTGGAGAGAAGCCGTTCAAGTGCAACACGTGTAGCAGGGCGTTTAGTCATAAATGCAGCTTGGCGGTTCATGAGACGACTCACACAGGAGAGAAGCCGTTCAAGTGCGAGACCTGCAGTAGAGCGTTTACGGCTTATAGCGATTTACACACTCATCGGAAGATACATCGCAAGTGATCGAAACAGCAACGTGCATCATAGTTGCGGAGGGGATTTAAACGAAATACTCGAGCATCGACGTGTGTTCATTTGGCTTGGCGATAGACCTGCAGCGGTTCTATTTGCGAGCAGTGTGTGTTTCGCTGGTTCAAAATGTTTCAGCCTGTTATTTATCGAGCAAACGCAGATAAAAAATGTGAATTAACCTTAGTCGAAGCGACCAGAGGTCTTTTTTGTACACGAAAAAAAGAAAATATTTGAAGCCTTATCTTTTTTTATTCATTTAAAGTCATTAATGTCGTGATGCACCTGGAGTCTGTGTTGCCTGTAGGGTCACTTATGTTCCTTACAAGTCGGCCTACTCATGATTATAAATATGCAAACCTATAAAATAACGAAGGTCTTTCAATAGCAGCAATCTTCAATATTGCAAATGTTAAGAAAGTATAAGAACAACCGAGTAATGCGGAGGGGTCAACATAATTTTGAGATGTAAAAATAGAACATTATTCGAAACAATTTAGCACACCAAGCTGGAAACTAATGCTTTGCTCATAGGAGGGCAACAGAATATACATGACTCGGATATTTAGAAATGAAGTGTAATTTTCTATCTCATTTTGTAATATTCTTCGTCCTTTTCTTTTTGACCAGTTTGACTATCTGAATTCTGATGTCGTCACTCAATGTGCTTGCTACATGAAATACTCGTATGTATGTTTTCCTTTTGCATGACTTTATTCTTTTTTTTTTGCACATTCACGAAGACGGTGCTCATCATTTAGGATATTCATATTTTCAGTGGTATACATTTGGTGTTCATATATACTCCGTTGCACCTTAGGTACGAGCGCGGACGATGTTTTGAGCCGGGGGACCAATAAAACAGCGCAAAAAGCGCAACGCCATGGCGTGCTCTCTGCGCTTGATAGGACTAGCCGGTGGAAAAGCACGCACAGAGAGATGGCGAATACCGGCTACTCCTATAGTCCTATGAACGGCAGAGAACTCGCCATGGCTTTGTGCCTTTTTCGCCGTTTGACTGGCCCTTCGGCTCATAACATCGGCCACGCTCGGACCTAAGCTTAAACGAAGTATAGTTTCACTTGATTTCGTCAGGCTTTTAAATATTCGAAATTTCCCTTGTAGTAGACGGATCATATACATTGGTTGTACTAAAGGCGTAATTGACTCCATTCTGTATATTCATGTATCTAAAAACTACATATGTATAATCCATCTAAATATGTGTTAATCTGCGCTGACTGTACAGTGGTTGTCACTATTTCCTGATGTGCCAGAATTGAAGGAGGGAGAGTCCTGTTCCCAAACGTATAAAATATTTGTTTTGACATATACAGGGTGTTTCCGGAAAAATGTGCAAAATCACTGCTGCGAAAACTACGCATCGCACAATAAAGAAGCCCGATGCCGTAGTGGTCTGTGGGAAAGGAAGATTGCTAGAGCTGAATATGATGGGATATTTAACAAATTCCGAGTACTTAAATTGTTAAATATTAGTTTTAAAGAGATGGTTTTAAAGATAATATTGGTGAAGGTGCGTCTTCACTCTGACACCGATGTCAAAAAGGCAGACCTTATGTGACAGTCCGGAGGCTTTAATATATAGACTACTCTACGTACAATGAGTGGCGGCGCACGCACGTTGCACGTCTTAGACACGGGGGGCGGGATTGCCGGCACGGAGATGTGCTCCGAAATGAAAGCGAAACCAAGATACGCGTCCAAATGGAGCATTTCTTCGGGACGCCGTAAAATGCTGCGCGTGCTTCGATCGTACCATTGTAGCGTGGGTGTTTTTAGTAGTTTTCGATCATAACGGCAAGATTCTATTTGAAACCTGGCCCTTCAAATCAATAATGTGCAATTTATTCGTTCAAAATTACTTACCCAGTTATTTTAAACGCTAAACATTTTCCTTGGTGGCATGTGCAAAAGGCGTAAGGTGACTTTGTCGTAGAACCTATGAGCACGAGCATGTCCGTGCTCCCAGCCATTTACACGCAGAGTGCGTGGTCAGGAGATGAAAACGAGTTGGTTGTCTGGTCCGGCAAATATGTAGCTCCCGCCGCACTGTCAGCTTCAAGGGGCCGTGCAGAGATATTGGGTGTTGGGCTTTCTGCACCAGTGGGACCCAAGCACCGGTGTGCCCGTTACAGAAGACATGTAAGAAAATAGCGTCACTCGTTTGATCGTCAAAACTTTACGGGCAACTGAGATTCGTCACCGTCCTACGAACGTTAACGATATACCGTTATGGTTACTTTCAAACAAGAACGAACGTTACTTTTACGCCAATTTGAATTGCAATATCATTTGAGAGCGAAAGGCCAAGGATATGAACTCAGACAACCGTTTAACATCTTTGTAAGTTATTAGTTTGTAAGATTTGTTGCGTGATCATTATTTTGAAAACTGGTTTTATTGACTGTGCTGTAGTACATGTAGTAATTTTTTGCACGACCATAAGGGGTTTGCGATAAGCTGATTGAATAAAACACTAATTTGTGCAAAGAAGTCACCAGGTGTCGACAAATTTTCTCCCTCTCTGAACGGATACACTCTTGGGAGTATTTAAAGGTACTCCCAAGAAAATGGGGCATAATGCATTAAATTACAGTATACCCCTTCTTGAGAATGCTGCAAAGGGCTCTCCCACTTAAATCTTTTAGAAAGTCGGCGAACCAGTGCGCTCTGTTGGGCACGCGCAGAGTGGATATTGCGAGCCGATTTCTCTGATTTTTTCATGAGTTTGTTCTGAAAGTACTTAAAACCCAGTTTCAAGCGCACTTAAAGCAGGGATATTAAAGGTGGGTCACGAAGCGGTCCGTACATGACTAAATTGATAAAAAATTACTTACAAGGACAATATAACTAGGGTTATCTGATGGAGAAATTTTAGGACCGAGTTTAGTGTAATTAATAGTAAAAGAAACGACGCTCTTTTGGGTGAAAAGAAGGATAGATCTATTCATGATAAGTCGAAGCCGCGGTGTAGGGAACACAAATCAACAAGGACAACAGTAGGCTAACGACACATTCCGAACGGGATTAAGCGTGGAAACTGGGCTTAGCGACAGTTACTAAAAAAAAAAAAAAAAATTGGAACACTGATAAGGGCGTATCGACCCTAATTGTAAACGTTCGTGACGACCGCAACCGCAGAAAATAGTTCCTCCTTCAAATTAGCCCCAAAGAAAAAAAAGAAAATCTTACTTTTTTGATATCCACGACTTTATACCAGGACCGGGGGTAGGCGACCCGTGATGCCGCCCAAGGAGCCATCAAAAGGGTTGCGCCGCTGCGCCCCCATTTGAAAATTTGTGTAGCTTACTAATTTATTTAAACACGGCGGTTCTTGTCAGAAAAAAAAAAGAAAACTTGTTTTGGAACGCTACTCACATGTTTACTGACTACGTGATGTCGTAGATAGGGGCGTATAAAAAAGCGAAGGGAACGGGGCGCCGGGGGCGTTACGGCAGGAGTTTGCCTAGGGTGCTTTATGCCGTCTGATGCCTGGTGTTGATAGGATCGGAGGAATAGCACCTTGCACCACACGCCCATTTTCACAAGAACAGAAGTTGCACAAAAATGGGGCGACTAGCAGAAAATCCACTTGGCGGCACACACAGAGGGGTCACCGTGACAAGCGCTCCGAAAAGCTCCGGAAGACTGCTTTCGTGTACCGGCTGAGGCTCATACTGGAGAATTCCCGAATCGCCCTTCCCATTTGAACCTGTCCCTTTTCAATCCGTTCCCGGAACACCTTTACGTTTGCGCCCGTCCCGTATAAACCCATTGGTATATAAAGCCCCGCACATCTCACCCTCTCCGCGAAAAGTCTCCATCGTTCTAACCCTGGTTTGCTCACATTTTCTCCTTAAAAATAGGTGCCGAAATTTCGTTAATGCAATTAAAGCAAAGGTGCCGGCGAGCTATTTATTTATTTTGTGAACTAGTTTTTATTGTCGACGTATTCTTAATATATACATCACTTTCAGACAAGCTCCAACGAAAGATATTTCTACTTGAACCACTTGAAATGTTTCTGTCAAGATGGTCCCCAAAATGTGGGACTGCGAAACGCGACAATGTTACCGCGAACACGATGTAGACGATTGTTTAAATGTTACTTCGAAATGGTGTTAGAAGGTACCAAGTTGTATACCGCTGAGGATAGTGGCCCAGATGAGCACTTTCAAAGACACTAATAATATTGATGGCAGTCATTTCATTCTTTGAGACAAACTGCGAAAAACTACAATCGCTTGTTCGCGCAAGCAGTGTCGCGCTCAAGCACTTTGAGTAAACAAAAATTAGCGCTGCCTTAGGTTTTATAATCGCGACGCTATTTTTAGGTTTCCCAAAGCCCTTACGCACGTTATTCTAAAACTTCCTTATAGTGAACGGGATATGTTGAAGAGTGAGAAATTAGACAAGTTATCAGGGCATATGATTGCGACTTCATTTTCTTACGAGTTCAAACACAAAACCCTCGCGCTCACAGGAAAAATCCATAAACTACAAAATGCTATCGCCTTTGTTGAGGACGTCGAGCAGGACAATCGCACCATCAGAAAGGCTGCACTCCGATTTTGATAGTTCGCGGCTGTCCCCTGGCCCGCACGGCACCACTATTTGCAAGCTGCTGCGAAGGTACCCTTGTCAAGGTTGATTAACGTACAAGTTTCGGCTACAATTGATATGCAGACATAATTAAAAACAAAATGGCGCAAATACGATGGGCAAAGTAAAAGATAACCGACAGGACACAGTGCTGTATCCTGTCGGTTATCTTTTACTTTGTTCTCGTATTTGCGTTGTTTTATTTTTAATTATGTCTCGTGAAGGCCTCATCCCGTTTGATCAGATCCATGAAGCTATTAATGTTCGGGTGAGCTCTCCCTGACACAGCTTTTATCTTACGGTGCCGTGTCTCCAACGTTGTTTCGGGAGAGGGAGAAGTGAGGTGAAGCAAGGAGGACAGACATTGGACACTTGAACCTAACCAACTGTTAACAAACAATACAAATAGCATGTAGATTGTTATATCGTCAACACAAAAACGACATATGCCATACATTTCTTTCATGGAGTTGTGTCATAATGTTGCAAAATAATCTAACAAAAGTCGGAATGGCGTTGCGTCCAAAGAGCCTAGATTTCACTCCCGCGACTCACTCGAAAGAGTGTCTGATCTCCTTGTGTAAAAAAAGAAACGAATCTAATAAGTTCGCGGTACGATCA